GATTTATCATCAATTAGAAGCAAACCAATAAGTACAAGGGGCCAAGAACTGAATTATGTCATGTACTAGGTCAATTCCTTAGATTGTGGAGTTACGTATTCTGTTTCTCAAAAGAGTCTAGATATTACATTGTTTTATTATGTCTTTTAGAGATGTATTACCTGATTTGCATATACTAATATTCAAGAATTTGCGAATCGCTCCGCCTGGTGCTGTTTGACTTTACAGATGTTTACTTTTTCGAAGCAAACTGGAATCTGCAGTATCTGGTCTGGTAACTACCATCTAGCATGAGCGGGACTTATACTCCCTTGAGATGGATTCTAGACTTCGAATTTTTAAAAATTAGTGTTCTGCAATTGAATTTTGCACTGTTGCTGTTGGTATAGCTGCTTGAATGTTACATTTTAAAAAAGAATTAGATTTTTTTCCCTGATACAAATCGTTGTTTACATTTATGAATATCTACTTCACTGCCTCATATACATGTCACTATGAATCTATAACACATTCGTTACCCAAGAGTAACTGCTTGCTTTCTGAGACAAATATATTTGATGACCTTTGGTTCTATGGTACCTGATGTTCCCAGTTTCTTAATTTACCTGTTTTTAAAATTATGTAGCTGGAATTTTTCAGTACAGTAACTTACCTTTTGCATTCTGAAGAAGTTGAGGAGTGTTTTCTTTCAGCATCTCTTTTTCCAAATTGTTTTGCCATGCTAGATCTGTATGTATTGACGTAGTGACAGTAGTTTCATGCTCTAGCTGATTGAGATTAGCCAAATTAGTGTGAACACCGATTTGCCTATTGAGCTGAAAAGTTATTAACTTGTATCTTCTTCGTCATACTGTGGTAAATATTGTGATGACAATCTCGTTTGCCTTTATACAGGGAGAAATGGGCAACCATCACCTAGTTTAACATGGTCAACGAGACTGAAAATTGCTAAGGGAACAGCGCGAGGTTTAGCCTATCTCCATGAGTGTAGCCCAAGGAAATTTGTCCATGGAGACGTCAAACCTTCCAATATTCTCCTTGATACTGAACTGCAGCCATATATATCTGATTTTGGCCTCAATCGATTAATTAATATCACGGGAAACAACCCCTCCTCTTCTGGTGGATTTATGGGTGGAGCTCTTCCTTACTTGAAGCCTGCTCAACCAGAACGTCCCAATAACTATCGAGCACCAGAAGCTCGAATCACTGGTAACAGACCCACCCAAAAATGGGATGTGTACTCATTCGGGGTGGTCTTGCTTGAACTGCTGACTGGAAAGTCTCCTGACCTCTCAGTTCCTACAACATCCACTTCAACGGAGGTTCCAGATCTTGTAAGATGGGTAAGAAAGGGATTCGAGGAGCAAAATCCACTGTCGGATATGGTAGAACCAATGTTGCTTCAAGAAGTCCATGCTAAGAAGGAAGTACTAGCTGTATTTCATGTAGCTCTTGCATGCACCGAGGCAGATCCAGATATTCGACCAAGGATGAAAACTATCTCAGAAAACATTGAGAAAGTTGGAGCTTAAACTTTTCGGTACACTCATGTCAAGGAGTTCCTGAGTTTCATGGACTTCTTTAATCTTTTTTTTGCAGTAATTGCTCCTATTATTTTTTTTCTTTTAGAGGTTAATCAAATCTTTAAACTTAACTACAGTACAAAATACCAGTGTGCTGCAACAAAATTCCTGTCATTTTTGAGAAGTTAATTAGTTGCTTATCTCTTTAATCTATTTCTGTAATTCTGATGTTAAAACAACTTTTCATGGCCAATAAAATTATAATTCTTTGTTACTACAAGTCTGTTTGGATTGACTTAAAAGTTCATCATACCTACTTTCAAGTCATTTTTAGCTTTTAAAAGTGTTTGACTATGTTAAAAATAACTTTAAATAAGTATAATTAACTTTAAAAAAAGAGTTAAAAGCTAAAAGTAGGTACTTCTCTGCTTATCATTTTTAATTTAAAAGTTACTCAAGTTTGACTTTTTTAAAACTATTTTTAAAAAGCTACTCCAAACGGGCTCGTAGTAGTGTTTGGCTTTTTTCCGAATTCACTTTTCTCTATTTTTTTTCTCTTTCTTCCACATCATGACATAACTGTTTCCACACCCCCAACTTAGGATTGAACCATCTATTCTCACCTTTCTTTTCATCCAACACTCCCCAACTTAAGCTTTTTAGGCTTCATATTGCAGTTACAATTAGCCAACAAAACAGTTTAAAGGCTTAATATGGGAGACTAAGAATAATATTTTACATTTAGAAGCATTATTTAGGTTATATTGACTTTTATTTCACAAAATAAGACTAAGTTCATCTCTATAACTAAGCTATCCTCACACATGTGACATGACTAACCAGACAAGTTCTGGATTACATGCATAAACACAGTGACAACACCAAGTCCTAACACACACAATGACATCAGACTTATTTAGCTTTCATTATAACTCCCAAACTAGTACTCTAAGCATCATGTAATTTTCAATGTTAACCAAAATTAAGAGAGATATATGTCAATAAATACAGATGGAGTTCAGACAACTTTTCCAAAAGGGTCCATTTTTTCATCAAAAATAAGTTTCATGCCATAAGCAAACAATCTACCACCATTTAAGTCAAACCTACTTTATTCTACTTTAACTAAACATGAACTATTCCCTTAAGAAAGTCTCCTACCGATTCTATCATCAGGAAAAATCTGACTCTACATTCGATTATACCTAACCATTGCCCATTTCAACATCAAACTAATCTCCCGGAAAGGAACCATGACTAAGAAAAAATTGAAGGTGACTCAACTAGGATTGATGATCTGAGGTGTATTTACACATCCAATCATCATATTTTATCCATTATTTAGCTAAGTTCTGAGTATAATCTTATAAATATCTATGTGTTTATTGTGTATTTGTTGTGATGAGCTAATAGATATGACTAGGTTGATTTTATGCCAAATACAACAAGAAAAGACCCAAAAGATGGATTGAAATGCAAAGTAGAGTGTCCCGAACTAAAATGTTGCCAAAAGGACTACAAAAGAGGATTCCTCGATGCAAGGGAGCCTTCCACGCATTGGACCCCGCTCCGCACGCAACCCCCTATTTGCCATACTAGAGTTGACCAAGTCAAAGCAGAGTTCAATCGGGTTTAAGATTTTGATCCTATTGCTATAAGTATGTCATTAAGATGACATTTTTAGAGTTAGACATTATAAGTAGGAGGTTACAAATTAGTCATAAAAGATAGGAATTACTCATAGCATATAGGAAGATTCATTGCTCTTAGTTTTTAGGGTTTAAATAGAGTTTTTCTTAGACGATTATTGTGGAGCGAACAAAATTCTCTTGCAAGAGCTACATTAATCAAAGGTGTTGTTTAATTTCTTTTATATTAATGTTCCTTAGTAGTTTAAATTATATTACTAGTTATTATTTATAACTAGTTATGAGTAACTTAACTGAAAACTAGGGTTATGGAACTTAGAGTAGGGATAATGATAATAGATTATTTACATTAAAATTAATCTTATCACAGAGGGGGTGATCATTGCATATTATGGTTCTTTTGTAAAGATTGCTTTTTAATGGTTGGAAACATTAAGAACTTGTCTGTATTTTGACTTGTTTGACAAAAGAGGTTAAGATTAGAAAAATGATTATTAACAGTGATTTGGAGCTATCAACCAGGGGCGGCTCAACGTATTTGGAGGCCTAAAGCGAAGTTTCAATTAAAGGCCTAAAATCTTTTAGCTGAGGCAATTATTATATAAATTGTTAACATTGTTCTATAAGTAATAAGTTGACAAACTGCTTATAAACCTTTTTTTTATTGGTTTAAAAACACATGAAATAAGTCAATCTAAACAGACTTGTAATTCACTTTATCCAAAACATGATTTTTACTATTGATTCATATTTTTGATAGAGCTCTAACTTACATATAGTATAAAAGGAGTCTAGAAAATTATAACGCGAGAGTTAGTGAAGAGAATGTAAGAAGACAAAACAACATTTTTCTTGATTTCTTCTATTTGATTGAGGTTAAGGAGAATAAAATAATATATATTTTTTAAAGAAAAATACATTTGCTTTGGATAATTAATTTTTTCTATAAAAACAATTAACACATAATTTATCGTGGTAAAAATTAGAGGCCCCTAAAATTGGGGGCCTAAGGCATATGCCTAATTTTTATAAGCATTGAGCCGGCACTGCTATCAACCTCCATCTAATAGCTTGAGCTAGAGATAGAATAGCTAACGTAAGGCTTTTGATGAATGAATAAATTAATTCGACACCCAAGTGATGACCTCTTAATTGGTCCGAGAGGCTTTAGGAGACATATAGGCTCATCAGGTTTGTATAATGGACGTACCTGAATGAGTTGATAGTAAATTATCGGTTAGATTCCATTCTTCACCTCCATTGCATATTTTCTTTTACCCTCTCCTCCTCCTCCATCTTCTTCTCCTTCTCCTCCTCCTCCTTCTTCCTCCTCCTCCTTCTTAATATTTATCAACATCCTTCTCCATTTTATTCTATATTTTCTTTTTATATAAGTTAATTTGATTTGTTCTTCATTTTAATTTTTAACTTTTTGCCACGGTAGGATTGTTTTCTATGTGATATTTTTTTTTAATAAAAGAGAGAGTGTAATACAAACACCATCACATGTTACTTGAAGTATGTTTCTTACGCTCCCATTAGTTTAGTTGTGAAACTAAAAAAAAGAAAGGTTGTTTATGTATGTTTTTGACACTTGACAACCGTTTGAACCACCTAGGATTCTCTTCTTTTTGGTCCTCCTGGCCACCTTCTTACTATGCAATAATGAGACTAACATGATTTACCAACAATTTGACCAATATAAGGGTTGGAGATTCTATAGATTTATCAATAATTCACAGAGCATACTCAAAATCATGGAGAATGTGCATCATACATGAAAGCAAATTAAGAAGGAAATAAGCAATGTATGTGTATATATTGGTTAGTATTTCTTGGTTAATCCAGATCCACCATCCACCACCTCTGCAGTTAAGATCTCAATTGGGAAATCACAGTCTGGAGTGGAAGGATTATTTGTGGTCATCTTTGCTCCTAATAACTTGCATTTCCTCATATCTTGATTACCCATTTGGTAAAGCATATTATATGCATAAGAGACCTTCTCTATGAAACTGAGGTGATCACACGTTGCACCAGAGCCAAATGCAGTGCAGTCTGATTTCTCACAGGCAAAGTCGTAATCTTGCAACACTAGGGTCTCATTGTGATCCGTTTTACCATCAAACACACACCATCTGTTTGGCATTCGCACGGTACCTTTTTACAATATATATATAGCTAACAAGTCATTATATGGAAATTATTCATGTTGAATTATGACACAATTGAACATAAGTAGTACCTTTGGCAATGGAAGGCTTGACATCTCGGTCTTGCAGGGTGAAATCAATTTTGTACTTGGGAACACCATCGTGCTTATAGATACCCCAATGTCGTTGATAAGGTCCATAATCTGTAACAACCATATTCTCATCTGTTAAGCCAAGGAGATACATATCTATATCTCTATTTGGGCGTAGTGGAGTTCCCTCCTTCTTAGCAATATATTTAAGAAGTCCGCGATGAAATCTTTCAGCATTTTGTTCACTTGCACTCACATATCCATCTGTAGGCCAACCAATTTGTCCGACAACAATCTCCATATCACCATAACCTGCCTTTGCTAGAGCAGAAACAAGTGTATCGTATATGAAAGTAAAGAGATTAGTATAAGTGTTATTGCCATCTACGATTTTGAACTTGGATTTATTATCAAAGAAAGCAAAGTCCACATCAAATCCGTATCTATAAACCGTATAGATTGGGAACATATGGATAACGAAAGGGGCACCAGTTCTGTTAATGCTATCAAGAAATCCCAACATTTTCCCCTTTATGTCTTCTCGAAAATCACCTTCTGATGGCTTGCTAACATTTGTTAAGACGTCCGTGAAATGAGGAGTTGTTACTTTGATATCTGGGAGGTTGAATTTATCAAGGGCAACTCTCGTCATATTCAGGAAACGGATAGTACCATTAAATTGTTTTTTCATATACAATGATTTTGTAAAGGGTTCGTTCCCCACGTACACATACCTACAAATCAATAACTTCGAGTTCAAATCTGGAAATGAAACAATAATAATAATAATAATCTACTTGTTTTGAATATTAAATTCATCACATCTACCTGAATTTAACTCCTTTTTCGGAATAAACCTTGACACGTTCATGAATATAGTCGTCAATTTGTTTTTGCTCGATAGCATTTTTTAAAAAGTTCTCTTGTAAGGTGATGATGAGACCAATATTGGTTTCAGCAAAAGCATCAAGAACATGAAGGCTTGGTTGAAAAAGTCTCAACTCTGGAATTCCATTTTGTAAGAGTAAATCCACAACCATTGATGGAACAAACTTTTGTGTTGCCATCCTCCCCCAATTTATGCCCAAGTATGCCCCTACATGAATCTCACCACAAAATAATATCATTGACATCAATAAACTTATCCATAGCGAACTTATCTTTTTGTACATTGTGGATATTCTAATTCTTCAATAACATCCACAATCATATATGAAGACGCCTGTAATGCAGGTCGCCTAATAGAGGAAGTCCACCTATGTTTGTAATTATGAATTTTAAGTCATAAAAGAGAAAAATTAAGGATCATAACGTTTTCAAAGAATTAGGCATGCAATGAAACTTTTGTGTTTGTGTGATTCCGCATCATTGTCGGAAAAATATTTAAGAGTGGTTCACAATATTATGAAATGAACATTCTCTTGCAATACAACCTTTAATTTAAGCTCTACAAAAAAAAATAAAAAAATTACAATCTTATTTATCTTTATCTTATATATCAAATATATTTATATAAAAGAGAATCCCAGGTACGTGACGCCATCACAAGTCAGAATTCTCTTTTATTTTACTCTCTCCGGCCCAAATTATGTGGCACTTTTCGGATTTCAAGATTTAAACAAGTCTATCTTTGACCGTAAGCTTTTCATATATCTTTTAATTATTTTGAATTGACAATTATTGTGACTTATCGTACTGTTTACTTATTCTTAGCGTGACTTTGTTCAGGATTGGCATACTCTGTATACTGTAAAACGTGTGAGCGTTGAGGTTGTCACTAATTGGAGAAGGACAAGGAATATAACAAGAAAACAAATGAAATAGAAGAGAAGAGAAGACTAACACGTTAATGGTTAGTTCTACTAAGCTTCTATTGGATGTCATTAACACGTTAATGGTTAGTTCTACTATATACTTCAGGAACAACAAAGACTTAGTGCAGAGTTGCACACCCTATTATTATCTTCTAGGTTACAATGTTGCAGCAGTTCATTGTGGACAATTACATGATAGTAGAAGAGAAGATTTTGTTATATTGGGAAATAGGCAGATCTTTTTTCTTCATTGAATGATGTTATTGCCCGAGGTGATTCTACTTGTCCCTGGTAGGAAAAACTATTGTCTTACATTTGTAGCGCAATGGTAACCTTGATTAATTGTTCTTCCTGTATCTTCCCCAACATCTTTCATACAACGCCTCTATGTTTGATCTCCAAAACTGTGCGAAACGCCACCACAAATTCCTGTTTCCATAAATTTCTCCTGAACTTGTCAAGATTGTAACTTTCAAACTATCCTATTTTCCTTCACACAAAATTCGGCATCTAAAAACAAACCAAAACAACAACTTTTACATGTCACTCGTCCTTTCAATCTATCCTCAACTGAATAACCATTACCAAACATATAATATAACAACACAAACAATATTACTCCAAATTGAGAGTATAGAATTTCTTTTACATATATGAGCGTGACACACGTGAGTACAATCAATATAGTTGTATTCATTTCAATCTTCAGAACATCCAAGCATAATCTCGATAATCATATTCAGACATTGGAAAATTTATTCAGAGAAGGCGGTCAGGTAGCTGATCCCACCAAGATTACAAGGCAACTCTTTACAGTGTTGTCTACAAATCTCTTCAAGCTTCTCTATTTTTACATCTTCCTTTGCTTTATCCTTCTCGGCCACATTATTACCCTACCGCTATATCAACTATTTCCATGTTCATCCCCTACAAAATCTTACACTTCCTTACAACTCATTTTCCATATATGTTCTGGATTTTGTTTTTTTTAAAGAATACATAACCACCTAACTAAACTCTGGTGCTTACTATTGCACTCAATTGGCTATTTCATGGTTAAGTTTGTATGCTTTCCTTCTCACAGTTCATATTTTCATTCAAAATACTAGAATTTCCTGATGGATACCAAAGACCTTTCTTGCAGCACACTAAATCCACCTGTGCAATTCAGGTGTGATGCTCTTTACAATCACAATCCATTATTTACTCTATTATCACGAGCCAAAGTACATCATGGAGGTGACATGGCGTATAAGACCTCGAGAGGCCTTACACAAGCCACTTGACATACATACAACACAACATAATAGAAATACGAGAAGTAAAGGTAGAAAGTTTCATATTATAATAATTTGATATACAAGCAGAAGTCTAATCCTAGTCTTGACAAACCCATCTTATCCATCATGGTTGGGACGTAATCCATACACACATACAACGTCTGAAAACTAAAGACATAAGAAAAGCATAGTAAAAGTGGCATGGTCCTCGGAATATGAAGACTCACCAAGTCTTCAACCTCGAAATGATCAAATAGCCACGAGTGGGAGTGATAAACGATCAACCACACCTCATCCAATACTAGGTGTGGGCGATCATAATCTAGTATAAAACCCAACGAAAAGTTGGGGTCGAACCCACAAGGAGCGGTACAAGTTTGAATTCATTTATGAAGTTACAAATGTAATCTAATTGGTGGTAGGAATAGAAATTATTGTAAGCATGTAGTTAAATTGAAAGGGGTGACAACAAATATCAGATGGGGGGATTGGTTTGTTATTAACAACTAAACAAATACGAAAACAGGGGTTTCAACAATATTAAGAGGAATTCTCGGAATGTGATTGATTATAGGCTAATTATGCTATATGGGTAATTGAAGTTTATTAATAATTTGTTGAATCACTGTGGGTAGGCTAGACCATAAGTGCAATAGTTTTCTCTCGAACAACTACTGTGATTCAGGTGAGTTCTCTTGAACCTCGACAAGCTTATCACTACAAAATAGCCCAAAACCTTAATGTATCTACTCTCTCGAGCTAGATAGGTAGGAGCGAGTTAAGATTCACTCTCTCGAGCTAACCCATAATAACCCACACGCTATAATCATTAATCGATAACCTTGGTTTTAGAACCTCTCTCTGCTAAAATTGTATTTGCAACTACAATTCATGAATTACTACTCAACTATCGATCAAACCCACATTAAAACAACAATTAAATCATTAAACAACAATACCCATAAGCTAATTAAGCCAATAATTACATGATCACACCCCAAGAATTGGGGTTTTAGCTACACATCATAAAAAGAGAAAAACAATTACCAACTATATTCACCATGAGCTGGGTAAAAGTTCCAAGTTTCTACAATGCTCCAAATTGAATTAATTCGAAAACCCAATTGCAATTCCTCAAAATTTTGTCTCAAAAACTCAAAGAAAAATAAGAACGGTGGAATCAAAACTTTGGGAACTGGAAGAAGACTGGAAAACTTCTTTTTCTTCTGTTTAAATTTATAGTTTCCCAATTTTTGGCCTGAAAGGCCATTTGGCAAAGTAAGTCGCGTCTCACCAACTAGGTCGGCGATCCGCCCTTTGCTCCAATCCATCGCCGGTTTGCATTGGCCATTTTTCTTCAGGGATATGTGACTTTAGGCGATCAAGGTTGCTATCGCAGAGTCATTAGACGATCCGTTAATTCCCCATTCCTGTCGCCAAATTAGTTCTTCCCCAGGGATGGCACGCTAGAACTTTGGGCAAGCTAAACGGCCACTCAGTGGTTCGCCAAGTGGTCTAAGGGATCACCAGGATCGATTTTTTTCACTTCTTCAGCTTGTTAGTTCCTTTTTGCCTGATAGTGTCCTTGCCTTGCTCCTTAGCCTTCATAGCTGGAAATTCAACACCTTAACATCAGTTTAGAGCATAAATTATGCATTTGAGGACACTTAAACTATCAAAACAAAGCCCTAAATGAGTCGAAATCTCGAACTCATCAACACCCCTAACTTAAAATTTTGCTTGTCCTCAAGTAAAACTCAAGATCATCAGTTCAACAAGGATGTCTACAAACAGTGTTGCTTAAGACAACATAAATGCACACAAAAAGGTTCAAACTACATATACAATGCTCAATTGTGCACTCAAAGATTCAAATTGTGACTCACCATTGTCAAGAGTACTCAAGCTCACAATGCTTGCTTTAAATGCGAGTTCACGCTCAACAAAGGTATTCAAATACCCTCACAACAAAGATGATTCCATATTCACACAAAATTTCTCAAAAATTTAAGGTCTCGAAATCACATGCAACTCTCACACTCACAAAGATGAACACATGCATGACTCCACCTATATGTTTGCCCTTATTTTCCAATCAACATTCATTTCAGCTCACTCAAGATCACAAAGGTCTTTTTAAGGCTTGTAATGGGGCTGAGTGTAAAAGGTATGGTCATTTAGGCTTAGTGGCTTCTACCTTCATGAAGTATGGCTTGAAAATCACTTTTTCTCCTTCTCTTTCACATTCAAACATGTTCATAATTCACCCCATTATTCAACTAAACATTTCTTTTACTTTTTTCACACCCTTTATTTCACAACACTTCTTTTTCATTTTTCATTTTTCATTTTTCATTTTTCATTTTTCGCTTTCAACTTTTTTCTTCTCTTTCATTTCCTTTCTCTTTTTTTTACATGAAGGGTTTCCTCTTTTTCACAACACTCCATCAAGGGGGAATTTTTCACACTTCTTGACTTTCCTTCTTTTTCACCACACCCCAACTTAGGCATGAATCACCGGATGCCCCATTTCTTTTACTTTTTTCACACACTTTATTTCACAACACTTCTTTTTCATTTTTCATTTTTCATTTTTCGCTTTCAACCTTTTTCTTCTCTTTCATTTCCTTTCTCTCTTTTTTTTTACATGGAGGGTTTCCATCTTTTTCAGAACACTCCATCAAGGGGAAATTTTTCACACTTCTTGACTTTCCTTCTTTTTCACCACACTCCCAACTTAGGTTTTTGGCCTAAGTTGGCTATTCAAACGAACGAATACTTCATGAAGGTTATAGGTGATGGGATAAAGAGGTCAAAGTTGTTCAAGTTTCTTCCAAAGCAAAGGATAGACTCAAAGGGTACCAAGCAAGGTTCACACTTCTCACAAGGTTGGCAACAAAGAGGTATATTGTCAAATTGGTTCACTCTTCAAAAAAATTTCCTAAGATCATTTCAATTGCTTGCTTCACTCAATCAATCGAACCAATGTGACAAATTCTAGGTGTCATCAAGCACAAAGTTCAAGACAACCTCACCATACAAGGCATTGACACAATTATCAAACAAGACTCCACACTTTCTAGCTAGCATGCAATGTTCATCACAGGAGACTTAATCGACAATCGGCTAGTCACAACGAGATGCTAA